CCTTGGCTCGTCGACGCGTGCCCTGATGACGTCTCTCGCTGGCTGCTGGGCGCAGGTATTTATGCTCCGCCGTTCTATTGCTCTCCCTTTGCACGCACGTCTACACGCTCCTGTCGCGGATTGTGTTTGATGGCGAGACTGAGTACGAGTTGCCTCCGTGTCCGTCATTGACGAGCTTCTCGCCTGCACTTTGCTGGCTTTCGCGGCCATCACCGACTTGCGCGCGGCCCCTTGCCCCGCGGCGTTCGATGCAGACGCCCCCCTTCAGTTTCGGGGGAGTGGTCCGCGCGGACATCAGCAGTCATTTGCCCGCAGAACATTAGAGACGTTCCGAGCGCGGGGGCTGGCGCACTCGGCTCGATTGTCACCTTCCTCAGGTTCTGAGCCGGGGGATCCCTCTTGGCCCCGAGCTCACGCAGCTGCATCGTGATTTGGGGTTACTCTCTCTTGAGCCCTTAGCCGCGCGTCACTGGGTGACGGAACTCGCTGAAGCCCCCCGCTTCCGCTTGACGTGCAAATCGCAGTTCCGCGTGCCCAGACATATCGACATCCTTGAGACCATTGCCTTCAAGGTTTTGTGCAAGTACTGTTGCATCAGGATGCCCGATTCTCGGAACCCTGTCCTCTTAGGCGCTAAAGTGGCTCTCGGAGCGGCTGCCCATGGCCGCCGCAGCTCTCTGGGCGTGTCCCGTGTCCCGCGCACCTGTCTGCCGTGCATCGTCGGGGGCGGTCTGTGCATGGGGGGGATGTTCGTTCCGACGGGCGTTCATCGGGCCAGCGACCCTTCGAGGCACCAGTCGGTCCGACCCCCCTCGCGAGCCCTCCCCGCGCGGCTCGAGGAGGCAGAGCAGGGGGAGTTCGAACGCTTCGATTGCGTGACCCAAGCCGATGCTCTCTCCCCGTGCCCCACCTGCCTCTGGGCGCGCTCCGTCGCCCTACTTGCGCTCGTGCCCCCCCTCGGGCGCGGGGGGGGCCGCCGCCGACGGCGCCGCCGTGGAGCCGACTCAGGCTCTCCGATCCCGCGGCCGCCCGGGGCCAGGAACGCCCTGTTCTGGCGCGCCGCTGGGGCCACGCGCGCCAGCGCTGAGGCCGCCATTGCCCTTTTTCTCCGTGCGAAGGAGGACGTCGCAGGGGGCGGGGCCGATCCCGAGGCCCCCCCTGCGCCTGATTCTCCTCGAGCACCACCAGCGCCCAGTCCGACGCGCGTGAGCTCGCGCATGGCAGGAGACGTTCCAGCAGTAACCGGCAGCCACGATATTCTTCTGGGACCCACGAGCGGCGGTGGTCGGCGCGCCTTCGCCTGAGCAGCCAGGCTGAAAGATGCGCGAGCTGCTCTGCGCGTTGCCGACCGAGCGGGCCGCGGCGCCATTGAAGCGGCTGTCCGACGTGCAGCGCGGGACTGCCACCCTGACAAGGGAAGGGTCTCGGCCGCTGACGCCGACGAGCGGGCGCCGCGCGTCAAGCGGCTGTGCGACGCCAAGGCGCTGCCGCTCAATTTCGAGAGCAGCCGGGCCGCCCCAGGGGCCCCAAGCTCCGGCGGTGGGGGAGCCGCCAGCCAGGCTCTCGCCCATGCAAGAGGCCGAGGAACGGGGGCGGGCGACGGCAAGGCGCTTGCCGGTCAGTCCTTGCTGCTGGCCGCTCTAGACGAGGCCACGTACGAGCGCGTCGTGTCTGCGCGGGCCGAGCGCACCGCCCTGCACGACGCCTCGGGCGCCCCCGCGGGCCAGCCGCCTGCGCCAAGCCCCTCGTCGCTCGCGCGCATTCCGGGTTCCGCGCCCGCCAAGGCCGAGCTGGCCGCAATTGAGCGGTTTGGTCACCTCGAGCTGCAGGCTCTCCGAGAGGGCCTCGCAGCCCGGATGCCGCGCCCCGAGGTGCGCGACGCTTCCCAGCGCCCCGCGGCGCGGAGTGCCCTAGCCGCTGCCATCGCGGACCGATCGCACGCGAGTCGACTCCAGGAGGCTGCCAGTCGGGAAGCGCGAGGTGAGCAACGAACGGCCCCTGTCCAACTCGCCCGCGACGCTCGCCCAGTGAGGAGGGCGGCGCTTCACAACGCGGAGGTGGCGCACCCCGTTGGCCTGGCTCGTCGCGCTCACGCGGCTGGAGACGACGCCCCCGCTTCGTCGGCGGGGCGGTCTCTCTCTGACCTGGAGGCCGAGTTCCAGGCCAACCCGCGCGCCAACGCGCACCCGCCCGACGACCCTGCCAGCGCCATGTCGCGCCGCGATCGGCGGGCCGTCCGCCGACGGCGGGGCCCTCGCGACGAAGCCGTCGAGGACCGGCCGAACCTGGGAGGCCACGCCCCAGGGTCGGCCAACGCCTCGGCAGCTCGGCGCCAGCAGCGCGCGGCCGCCACGCGCCGGATGAGTCGCGCGGCCCCCCCCGCCCCTGAGGGAGGGGTCGCGCCTCCGCCAGGGCGCCGCGCTCGGCGGACTGCGAATCGTCGCGCCGCGGCGGAGCGCGCTGCCCTGCGGTCTCGCAGTCCCCCCTTCCGAGCTAGCGCCGAGCGGGGGCGGGGTCTTGACTTCTCCCCGAAGGTCCCCGAACCCCTACGGTCGGGACTCAAGCGGAGGGTCGTCGGCAGACGCTGGCGCCCTGCTGCGAGTCCTTCGACGCCGCCGGGCGGCAGGTCGCGGCTCGCTTCGCCAGCCGCCGGAGCGCGGTTCCTTACGACGCCTCCTCTCCGCAGGCCGCGGCATGCCCCGCCAGCCGTCGAGGAGCGGCGCCCGACGACGCCCCCACGGCGCAGGCGCGCCGAGTCTGCGCCGCGCCAGGCCCCCCGCGCTGGAAGCTTTGCGGATCCTTGCGAGTCGGACTCATATGCGTTCGCCACACCCAGTACAGCGCGTCGTGGCCCCATGGGGAAGTCCACCTGCGGCCCCAGTGGGGGACGCCGCAGGCGTCCGCCACACCCAGTACGACCCTCACACGCTTCGTGGCCCGCTAGGCACCCGCCACGCCCAGTATTCACTGTCATATGCATTTACAGCAGGCGTATCCATGCTCGCATTCGCGCGCATAGACTTATTCGCACGCAGACCCAATCATAATCAGACGCGCCCGCGCTCAATCTCACCACCGCTCAGTCCACCGTGCTCAAACTTATCGTTTTCGCTCGTATTGTGTACCCCGCCACATGTTGGCACACCCCTCGCCACCGAAGATGTTCACAATCGCGGTACGCACAATTGCATATGGTTGGGTCCTTCGCTTGGATAATTTCGTTCAGCGCCGCGGACGACCCGCGCGCTTCGACGGAACTCACCCAGGACGACCAGCGCGCGTCGCGGGGGCTCCGCTCAGAGCCGCGGCCATCAGGGCGTTTGGACACAGGGAAGAGAAAAACGCGAAGTGGAAAGACAATTTAGACAAACGGCCGCGCGCGGGGCTCGGGCCACCGCGGGCCAGGCGGGCAGGAATGCAACGCGCAAAGGGACCAGGGAGCAGGGAGATGGGAAGAACATGGAGACAAAGCGGCCGCGCAGTGGGCTTGGGCAGCCGCGGGCCAGGCGGGTATTAATGCAGCGCGCAACGGAAACCGGAGGAGAAAGAGGTGGGAAGAAATTGAGACAGCACGGCCGCGCACGGGGTTCGGGCTAAACCGACAAGTCCCCCCGCTCGCCCGCGTCGGTTTTTCTCCCCCTCATGCACACCGCAGTCCTTTTGCTGGACCCCTCCTTCGTCTCATCTCCCTCGCAGTACTCGCAACTGCATATCGTTTGGTCCTTCGTCTGGCTAATTTTTCACTGCTTCGACTGCAGTGTGACCTTGTTCGGGGGCCTCCAGGCAACCTCGAGGGAGCTTCCGATGACTTCTCGGGGGGCCACCGACGAGGCCCAGAGAGGCTCCGCAGTCTGCTTCCGGCCCGTGGGAGCGCTTTCCCCCGTTTCTATTGCTCTAGGCCGCACTACTGTTGTCCGAGTAAATGGGGTCGAAAGATCGTTCCGCATTGACGATGCTGCTCGATGTGGAGCAGGAATTTCTCCACGATGACGGCGCCGATTTATCACCGACGTCGCCGATGCGCCAACGATGCATCGCCGATGCATCGCCGATGCATCGGCGAAGCATTGGTTACGCGGCGCGATCTTCCGACCCCGTCTATTCGGACCCCATTCGGTCCCCACTTTCGCTTCCGGGCAAAACCAGAGCAGGCCACGCGCCTCTTCGCCAAGCACCTTGACCGTGGCGGGCCACCCCAGGGGCCCGTTTGGGCTCCCGTCCGGAAACGAGAGTGGTGAGAATCGAGGCAGGTCCGTTTGCCCCGTGCTGACTGCTGCGCTCCGATGGGCGCGGGGGGGGGGACGGGCAGAGCCGGGGGCTCGTCGGTGCCCCACGGCAGGCTCCCGCCTCGGCGCGGCGGCGGCGCCGGTGCGGTCCGTTGCAGGGTGCCTACGCCATCGGGAGGCCCGTCTCGGGCCGCAGGGCCCGCAGAGAACGACCCGGGGCGCAGCCATCCCGTGGTCATCAGCGGGCATCCAGCAGTCGTAAGCGCCGGTCGTCGAACGCAGGTATTTTCGGAGATTCGGATCGCAATCTTTTTCAAGCGCCTGCCTGCTACAATGATCGAGTGTTTTTCCCTCTTCCTTCCTCGTCAGGTGGCGGGCGGAAGCCCAATCTGCTTCCAACGCCTTCCTGCTTCATGTTTCTACCCACTTCTTCCCACCGACGGGTACCCATGCGACCCCCAAGTAAGGGTGGGCTTTGGAAGGGTTATGGTTGCGCGATGTCGGACTGGGGTCCCCGCTCGAACGGGCGGCCCTGTTGGTGTCTGACAACCCGCACGCAGCCTTCAAATCATGGGGTCTGGGTCAGCCCCCCTACAAATATGGCTGTGCCAGTGTGTCTTGCTCGTTCGTCATACGAAAGGTGGGGTCAACAGCTTTTGCATATTCAGGAGGCGGAGATCGTTTAAGATCGAACTGTCCACGTCGTCGAGGCAGGAACCTGCCGTGCCAAAGTTTTGTGCCCCTTTTGCTACATTTTCCCCACCCCCTCGGCAGGCGCCACCATGCTGGAGCAAGGACCGGGGCCGCCTGCTCGGTCCAGCATACGCGGCGATGGCGTTGGCTCAGAGTGTGTCCGCAGAAGTGTGGGCTCGACGTCAGGGCCTGCGCAGATCGCTTCTTGGGGCGTGTGCGTGGGGCGGATGGTCTGGGATGGCGAAGTGGCCTGGAGCAGGCTGAGAGGGCTGAAGCGGGGCATCACTAGTTCCAGCCTGTATCGAGTGGGAGAGGCACCATTCTGCACAGGTTTCGTTCTCTGTCCCCTCCGAGCCGCCTTATCCAGATTTGCATTGTCCAGATTTGCATTGGATTCCGAATTTGCCTCCTTTCCCCTCCTGACCGGTTTTGCTGGTGCCCACCCGGAGCAGACCCTCCAGCCGCACCCAGGAAAGGGCTCATTTCGGGGCGAACCTGGCGGAATGCGAGCAACTTCACTTGTTTGGTTCGTAGAATCAGAGGGCCCCAGATATGCAATTTGCAGCCCCTCCCTTTTCACCGCCCCTCTCACAGGAAGGGGACAGGGAACACGAGCGGGGGATAGCAGGAAGGTGATTACTAGTTGCGGTCAGTCCGAAGCCATTTTGGCTCAAGCCGTTTTTGCTCAAGCCAGGCTGGCTCAAGGTCATCATTTTTGGCTCAAGCACAAGCCCAAGCCCAAGACGCTCCACGAGAGCCGCTCACACTTGTGCTCGCGAAAGTGGGTAAAACGAGGTTTTTTCGGTTCTTGCTTCCCCAATCGCTGTGTTGGCCAGGGTGCACACACGGGCGCCAGGTGCAAAGTGCGCCGTGCGCGGAGCATCTGGCGCAAGTCCACCCCATGGACACGTCCCCGCAGTACACCACGGAATGCGGGGTGCCTCGTTTTCACAGCGGAAGAAGTGCGCAAAGCAACTTCGAACATGGCCAAGAAGAGGTGCTCCGTCCAAGACGGGGTCGTGCTGGAGATGTTTGTGCATGCTGGCGAGGACGTGGCCCGGCGACTGACGGCTATACTCAATGATATCATCGACGGACTTGCTATTCCAGACAAGTGTGTTGCGACTTGTTACTCGCTCTTGCACAAGGGTGTAGACGCGGGGGGCCCAAACAATTGGAGGCCCATCGCGATTCTGAGAATTGCACGCGACATCTTCGCGAGGGCCGTGTGCGACCAGGGGGCGCCTCGATTCCCAACAATCAGACGGTCAGTTCGGTTTCTGGCCTGCGCGCTCAGATGTACATGCTCGTATTTACCGTGCTCGTGTCTGTAATCTCTCATGGGAACGAGTGGTGCGTTCTTTTCTGGGTGGGGATCACTGATTTGAAAAAGTCTTCGGTCGCGTTGAACATGACGCCTTGTTCTGCGCACTGGAACAGCAAAAGTTTGGGCGAATCTGTCTGAAATGGTTGGAGCTAGCCTTCCTGGGTTACACCCCGGTCGGCCTCGGCCCCCCTCTAGCGCCACCCTTCGCCCCATCCGCATCCGCGGACCCCAGGCCTGGGAGGCGGCAGGGCCCCCCATCATAGGCGGCGGTGTGCCTCGCTGGACACGGGGGGTCGCTGTGGGGCGGGGAGGGGGGGTTGAGGGGCCGTGAGTGGGGTAGCCCGGGCTTTCTGGTTCGGCTAGCTTAACAATAACTCTGACCGAACATAAGAAGGGACGTGGAAAGAAACAAGAGCTTCGACCAGTTTGCGATAGGCTCCACCAACCCCGCCAGCCCAAACATGTGTATCTCTGCTCCGAAGGCTGCATGATGGGCCGACTCGGCGCGCGATGGATTGACGCTCTCACTTCACGCAGGGCGTCCGACAGAGCGACGCGGTCAGCCCCATCCTGTTCAACGCGGCGCTGGAGGTGGGAATCGCGAGTTGGAAAGCCGGGCTGACCGCAGAGGGTTTCGCTTGTCGGCATTTTTCTTTGGTTCAAGCTGTTTGAAGCAATTGCTGCATCAACTGCGCGTTACTCCTTTGGCTCCTGCCCGCTGGCGGAGTCTGTAGGCCGTCGCTTGGACGTCGCGTAGCCACGCATGCTGCGCCGCGTGGCGAGGTGGATCTTGCGTTCGGACGACGCCCGGGAGGACCATGGCCGCAGGATGGAGTTCCGGCTTGACTGGAGCCACGCGTTGCGCAACAATCGTCGCCGACGGTCGCAGTTCAAGTTGCCGAGCGGCTTCCGCTGGACTGCAGCGACCTGAACCAGACGAACCTTTTACGGTGAGGAGGGGGCCTTCCACGAGGTGGAACGATTTCTGAGGCAGGAGCCCTGCCCTTTTTTCTTTATTTTTCCTTTCTCGTCGTCGTCGTCGTTCGTCGTCCTCCTCCTCCATTTCCTTTTCCTTATGAATAATTTCTCCACGTCGCACCCCGAGGCCAGTTTTTTCGGGCAGGCCGGGCGTTTCGCCAGAGACCTCCTCGCTATGTATGACCCTGAAGAAGCTTAAACATTGCCAGCGGCTTCGCAGATGGAGGGCAGGTCGTTTTCAAAATGTGCCTCTCGCCTTAGCGCCGCGCACATTCGTTCAAAAAACGGCAAGAGCTTCGCGGGTGGAGGATAGCCCGTTCTCAACATGTGGCTCTCTCGTTAGCGCCACGCACATTCGTTATACAAATGTGCAAGAGCGTCACGGTTTGAGGATCACCCGTTTCCGAAATGCGGTTTTCGCCATAGCGCCGCGCGCATCCATTTTATCAATGTGCAAGAGCTTCGCGGATTGAGGGCGGTTCGTTTTCAAGTTGTGGCTCTCGCCTTAACGCCGCGTACACTCGTTGCAAATATTTGCAAACGTTTCACGGATGCCTGCGATCAGCGCACCAGAAATTGCGTTTTGGAGAGATGCTTGGATTTTGCGGGCGCAACAGTTACGTTTATTGACGGTGTTGAAATCCCAAGAACGGCGCCCTGGCACGATCCAGGATCGCCAAGACGCAACAGTCAGGTTGATCCGTGGCGTTGGAATCCCGAGACATTTTTTGCTGCATGTTTTCGGGTCTTCGACGGTTGCCTTCAACGAGGCAGATTCCTCAATGGAAATGAACCGTTGCAGGGGCCTCTGAAGAGGGAGCTTGGAGGGGGGTGCATTCCAACATCGTTGATGGCTCTTGGGTTTACATTGGTACTCGTCCTCCTCCTCCTCCTCCTGCTCCTCTTCCCTCCTCTCTTGCAACTTTGCCTGCGCGCGTATTTCCAGCTTTGGGCCCGCGCCCCGCCTGGCGGCTGACTTGTTCGAGCGGGCACTGGCATAATTCCCTCAGCTCAGACGGGCAGGTTTTCGGGGAGGCGGATCCCCCTATTCTCGGACGAAAACAGCAAGCAGAGCCGTGCCGAGGCGGCGGCAGTGGTGGACAAGTGGGATGCGGAGAATATGGGGCCTGGAGACAGCGAAGTCACAGCGGACCGGCCCAAAGAAGGTTCTCTTCGTGATCACCCAGGTGCTGAATGTGGTGAAGGTGCTTGGGCCTTCCTGCATCTCCCTCATTTGCCCGAGCATGACGGGCGTGGCGCCCGTGGTCATCAGCGGCCCCGCTGCTGGGGGCGGTCTCTGGAACAACGCCATTTTCGACGACCCCTTCGCGAGTTGCTCCCTGGGGGTCCTGGCGATGGTGCGATTGCAGTTTTCGTCGACCAGCGCCTCCATCACCATCGCGACGACTGCGGCGGGCTCGGCCGATTCCAAGAACGCCATTTGCATGGCGATGTGGGCGAACATCGGAACATGCGTAACCGTCGCAATCGTCAGCGTGTCCCATGTGGGCGACGAGGACCAGCGCCGCCGGGCGCTTGCGGGCGCAACTGCGCACGACTGTTTCAATCTGCTGACAGCGTCCATTTTACTCCCGCGCGAATATTTCGCCAGCGTGCTCTACCGCGTCGGCGTCGCCACTGTCGCGTCCGCCGGCATCGAAGAAGAGTGGGGGAAGCAGAAGATGGTATATTTCGTCAAGAAAGTCACGAAGCCAGACATCGTGTGATTTCTGTGGACAGGAACCTAGTGGCCAAGGTCGCGCAGGTGAGCGACCGGGACGCGCTGGGCGGCCTGCTGGCACGGTCGATCATCGAGAGCAAAAGCATGCAGGACAACCAATTCTTCTTGACCCTGCCTTTGAGCGACGAGGGGGCTGCGTGGTTGCTGCTGGTGTTGTCCCTGGTGGTGCTGTCCACCGCGCCTGTCCTCCTGATCAAGCTGCTGCGGGCGATCTTCCAGGGCCGGTCCGCGACTTGGATGTAGGGGCTGCTGAACCTGGAGTTCAAGTTGGCGCCCTGCGTGGCCGACTACATCCCCGTCCTCTTCGGCGCGGGCATCGCCATCCTCGTGCAGAGCAGCAGCGTCACCACCTCGACGCCAGCGCCGCCCGTCGGAATCGGCCTCATCAGGATCGACAACATGTTCCCGTTCGCCGTCGGCGCGAACACCGGCGCCACCGTCGCGACTGGCGTGACAGTGGCGCTCCCGCACCCGTTCTTCAACCTCATCGGCGCTTTCATGTGGTTCCCGATTCCTGCCGTGCGCGCCGTGCCGCTTACCGCTGGGTAGCGTGGCTGCGGACCTGCGCTGGTTCCCCCCTGCTGGCATCTTTGCCGTCTTCGCGATCATTCCGGGCCTGCTCCCGGAGCTGTCCCAGAGCGGCTGCCTGCGGTGCTCAAGATGGACTTCTCGCTCATGCCGCCCAGCGCGAAGATGTCCACCGCGGACGGCGAGCGTCGGTCCGCCGCGGCGGAGGAGTCGAACATCGGCAGCACCGACGTCGGCGGCGCGAGGCAGTGGTAGCTGGCGTTTTGCGCCTACGGGCTCGGCTGGCACTCGATCCCGGCGATGCCGGCGGCGGCGCCGAGCGCCAAGTGGTCCGACATGAAATGCGCATCCTTCAACGCCCGGGACCGCGTCAGCATTGGCGCCCAGAGCGCGCGCTGCGCCGCGTTTGCGAAAGAGGTGGGCTGGGCCCCGAGCTCCTTCACGGGCGCGGGCCTCAACACGCGTTTCGCGACCTGCATGGGGGGCCTCAGCTCCGCCAGCGCCGACCGGCGCGACTTCTCCACCGCCATGGCGCCGACGCCGTTTACAAGGAGCCGCGGCAGGGGCGCGCGAGCGCCGCGACGGTGGACTGGCCGAGCGAGTGCGAGGCCCCGACCGCGCACCATCGGTTACAGCCAGACTGGCGCCACGTGGGCCGCGGCCCCGGCGTCGCCCTGCAGCGCGGACGCCTTGCCAGAGGCTTGCTGCACCCCGCTCGGCGACCTCTGCGCGGACGTTAGCGGCCTGGCGGCCGAGGGCGGCCTGAGCGAGGCCGGGATCGTCTCCTGCCCCTTGGGGATGGCGGCGATGCTCGCGCCCCTTGTCCGGGGGACCAAACGGGACACGCGCAAGGTACTTTTGGGCACCGTCGCCATGGTCTGGGCCTTCCTGCTCGCCACGTGGGCCAGCGGCCTGAGCGCGCTGGGGCAGGAGGCGACGCGCTGGGTCCTGGACGACCAAGACGACAGCATCGTTGCGGCCAAGGGCAAATTCGGGGACATCGCGAAAGGCGCCAGCTACGGGCTCGGCTACATCGTCGGGGGTTGGGCCTTGTTTAACCCGATCCTCACGGTCACGGCGCTTCGCGTCGCGGCCGACGCGAAGGTTGACCCCCCGCGCAAGGAGGAGGCGAGCGAGGACGACGCGGCCCAAGTCTCGACCATCTGAGTACGTGACGGCGCGGATGATCGGTCGTGCGATCCTTCCTCCGCTGGCAGACCAGCTATAGCTGGCCTCTCTATGGCAGGTCGGACTGGCCGCGCCTCTCTCTGGAGGGGTGTCATGCTTTTCCTTCGTTTTCGCACCCGCAGCGCGACAGCGTCGCTCGCAGCCGCCCAGGATAGAGACGGAAGGAGGGGGAGGGGGGGCGAGGAACGAGAGAAGACCACAACCTATCGCGCGCCTTAGTCCTTCTCAACCTCCACCTTCCCCCGTTCTGTTACCCGTAAGGGCTTCGCCCCATGCCGCCAGCCCCCTGTCTCGGATAACGGGAGATGCAAAAGCTAAATCATGAGATTTGGGCGCCGCCGTGAAGCAGTGTCGGGACCTGTTTGTTTTTCGACCTTGACCCTACGGATCTGCTTGAGGGGTGCCGCCAAATTTCAGAAATGTGGCAAACCCCTTGTGTTTTTGGACCCTGACCCCGCCGATCTGCGTGAGGGGTGCCGCCGAATTTGAAAAATGTGGCAAATCACTTATGTTTTTTTACCCTGACCCTGTCGATCTGCGTGAGGGGTGGCAGCAAAATGTCAGAAATGTGGCAAACCTCTTTGTGTGTTTGCACCCTGACCCCGCCGATCTGCGTGAGGTGCCAGCGAAATGTTTTGAAATGCGGCAAATCCCATGTATTTTTAGACCCTGACCCCGCCGATCTGCGTGAGAGGTGGCAGCAAAATTTCAGCAATGTGGCAAATCTATTGTGTGTTTGCACCCTGACCCTGCCGATCTGCGTGAGGGGCGCCACCCGATTTCAGAAATGTCGCAAATCCACCTTGTTTTTGGACCCTGACCCCGCCGATCTGCGTGAGGGGTGCCACCGAATTTCAGAAATGTGGCAAAGCCTTTGTGTTTTTGGACCCTGGCCCCGCCAATCTGCGCGAGGGGTGCCAGCAAAGTTTCAGAAATGTAGCAAATCCATTGTGTTTTCGGACCCTGACCCTACGGATCTGCGTGAGGGGTGCCGCCGAATTTAAAAGATAATGGCAAATCCCTTGTGTTGTTGTTGGACACTGACCCTGCCGATCTGCGTGAGGGGTGCCGCCGAATTTCAGACATGTTGCAAATCCCCAATATTTTTTGACCCTGACCCTGCCGATCTGCTTGAGGGGTGCCACCGGATTTTAGAAATGTAGCAAATCCCTTGTGTTTTTGGACCCTGACCCCGCCGATCTGCGTGAGGGGTGCCGCCGAATTTCAGAAATGTGGCAAATCCATTTTGTTTTTTGACCCTAGCCTGCCGATCTGCGTGAGGGGTGCCACCGAATTTTAGAAATGTGGCAAACCCTGTTTGTTTTTGGACTCTGACCCCGCTGATCTGCGTGAGGGGTGCCAGCGAAATGTTTTGAAATGTGGCAAGCCTCTTTGTGTTTTTGCACCCTGACCCCGCCGATCTGCGTGAGGGGTGGCAGCAAAATTTCAGAAATGTCGCAAATCCCCCATGTTTTTCCACCCTGACCCCGCCGATCTGCGTGAGGGGTGCCGCCAGATGTCAGAAATGTGGCAAAGCCTTTGTGTTTTTGTTGACCCTGACCCTGCCGATCTGCGTGAGGGGTGCCAGAATTTCAACAATGTTGCAAATCCATTGTGTTTTCGGACCCTGACCCCGCCGATCTGCGTGAGGGGCGCCAGCGAATTTTAGAAATGTGGCAACTCCTTTGTGTTTGTGCACCCTGACCCCGCCGATCTGCGTGAGGGGTGGCAGCAAAATTTCAGAAATGTGGCAAATCCCGCGTGTTTTTGCACCCTGACCCTGCCGATCTTTGTGAGGGGCGCCACCGGATTTCAGAAATGTGGCAAATCCTTTGTGTTTTTGGACCTTGGCCCCGCCGATCTGCGTAAGGGGTGCCACCGAATTTGAGAATTGTAGCAAATCCTTTGTGTTTTTGGACCCTGGCCCCGCCAATCTGAGCGAGGGGTGCCAGCAAAATTTCAGAAATGCGGCAAACCCCTTATGTTCTTGGACCTGCTACCGAATTTCAGAAATGTGGCAAATCCCTTGTGTTTTTCCACCCTGACCCCGCCGATCTGCGTGAGGGGTGGCAACAAATTTCAGAAATGTGGCAAATCCCTTGTGTTTTTGCACCCTGACCCCGCCGATCTGCGTGAGGGGTGCCAGCAAGATTTCATAACTGTGGCACATCCCCAGTGTTTTTGCACCCTGACCCCGCCGATCTGCATGAGGGGTGCCACCGAATATTAGAAATGCAGCAAATCCATTGTGTTTTTAGACCCTGACCCCACCGATCTGCGTGAGGGGTGTCGATTTGTCCCACCCCAGCAATTCAGACAACACGCTCAGGGCGTGGTAGAAATACCCGTTTTGGGCCTGCCCCCTTCGCGCGGTCCATCAACAAGGAACAGTAAGCAGCAAGAAGTCAACAAGGAAGAGTAAGCAGCAAGAAGCAGAACTGTAACAGTGGAAACCGGAAGCTGCAACTGGTACAGGAAACTGCGAACCTTAGCCTACGGCCTGGTGGCCCCACAAGGGGGCCGGCGGATTTTGGGCTACGCAAGTATTGCGAAGTCGTCTCACGTGGCTGCTCGTGCCACAGCAAGCTGCCAGCCATCCAAGTGTGTGCTTTTGCATTTTTTGTTTTCAGGTTCTGTCAAACGCAGTGCCGTAGTGCTGTTCAGCGTCCCGTGCCTTGATCGTGTCGAAACATGCTGTCGCCGTGTGCACCTCCTCCGTATGGGCTGACCTCTGGCCTGCCCGCTGCATTGCGCGACAGTGCCTTTTCTTGCCTCCTCAACGCGGTGGCGAGTGACAATGACAAGAAGCATCGCGGCTGGACCGCTCTGCGTACCCTGGAGGGCGCTTGTGCAGTGCTCTGCCCTTCCTTGGCGCGGGCCTGTCCCTTGCGCCTGGGCGCAACAGTCGACCGGGGGCTGCGCCTGCCCGGCCCTCTCCGAGGCGAGGCCGTGGGGATCGTTGCGCGGGCGCGCCGTGCGGCGTCAGAGCACACGTGCCGCTCCGTTGCAGACCGTCCGTGCCCCCCCAGAATGGAAGAGTACTTCATACTGTCAGGTGGCTTACGCCATTCCAACGACCCCCAGAAGGAGTCAGAGCTTGTGACGATCGTGGAAGTTCTCGAGTGGCATTCGGCCCAATCCGCTACCGTGCCTGGGCTGTGGGTCAGGAGCCTCCTGGATTAATATAAAATGAGGGTTTCTTGTGCTCCATACTACCCTGCTTTCTCGCCGTCAGCCTCTCCGCATGGCCGCGCCAGCAACGACGCCGCTGTCGGCTTGCGAGGGTCCGCAGAGTGCGCCTGCATGCGCAGAGGAGGGAGCTGCGTCCGAGCGCTGGCACGAGGGAGGTCGCCCGACGGCGTATTCAGAGGCGCCCCCGAAACTCGCGGCGAAGGCCCAGCTCTTGCGCCCGAACAACTCGTCAACTCGAGTGGCCGCCCCGCGGCCGTGGACCCTCCCTTTCTCCACGCCCACCCTCGGCTCTCGTGCCTTGCGGAGCACGTCTCTCGCTCCGCTGCCCGTCGTGCAGAGATGGTCGGAGGTCCCCCCAAGACTCAGGGGAGCAATGGATACCGATGCCGCTGCCCTTGCCCCGCCCTTGCCAGACCTCTCTGGGGGGCCATCGTGGCCACGGCTGGGTTCGCGTCTGACTGTGTTCATCACACGCCCATTGGGAGGTTGCTGGGGAGGAGCAGCATAAATGTCTTTTGGTACACTCAGAGGGACCCCTGCAGCACTCAGGGCGCCGCGCACTGTGCCCCGGATGGCGAGGGGCCTCGAGCCGGCACCCGCCGCAGTGGCTTGCCGCGGTCCGTGCCCAGCTCCCGCGCGCAGTCCCCAGGGCCTCCGCCAGGACACACGAGTCGATCGCACTCACGGGCATGCAGCTGAGAGTGGGGGGAGTGGAAGAGCAGCTAGAGTGCGTCATGTTGCGCAGTGCTATGATAGCACGGGCGAATGCAGCTTGGACCCTGTGGAGGTCCGCGAGGTGGAGGTTGAGCGGGGTCTTCGCAGAGGCCCGGGCGCGCTGCTCCTGCCTGGCAGCGCGGCACGTGCGACCTTCGTTGAATACGCATCCTTTTCTCTGTAACATCCGCTTCGAAGCCTTTTCAGAGGACCTTCTAGTCTTACTAAACTTTAGATCCCTTCCTTGCTGGCGCGGAGGAGGCACATGGCAGGTGTGGTGCAGCAGGTGCTTTCGGCAGCAGACCCGATCCGGCATCCCCCCAGAGGATCGGGCATGATCCCTGGCATAAGCGCGGAGTCCGCCATGTTCAAGGCCACCGACCTCCTGTTCGGGGTCACCGGTATCGTCCTCGAGGACCCTGCCTGCGGTGCCCGCGCCGATAGGCGAGCAGGGGTCGGGGGGTCGTGGACGACTCCGCCCGCTTTGCTTGCATCAGTTGTTTCGATTCGGTCGTTACTTCTGCCGTCCACCTGCCGGACGCCTTGCAGTCCCCTCGATTCGATTCGGTCATGTTTTCAATTGGGTGGACCTAAGGCGACTTGTGACATGAAAGCACCTCGGGTTTGCCGACGCTCCTCGATTGCCGCGTCCTGGGTTTGGGCGGTCCAGTTTTGGTGGTGTGTGAGGTCTCTTCTTTTCGCATATAGGTTTAGCTTATGGGTTTCACGCCTAGGGTCCCGACAAGCGGGACCAGTGGGATAATCCCACTGGTCCCGCTTGTCGGGACCCTGAAATCCCACTGGGATTTCAGGGCACAGAGTGACTGGACGTCGAAACTTTGGCTCAAGGCAAAAACACTTGCCGCCTCACTCGCTCACTCGCTCTCACAGTTGGTAGCGGAGCGCGGTCGGTCGGGGGCGCCTTGGGTGGTGGCAGGCGGTCTTGAGGGCCAGCCTCCGCTGCTTGCGAGCCTCCCGACCCGGCTGCGCTCTCGCGCCAGCGTGGGGCAGGGATCCACGGCAGGTGCGATGCCCACCACAGATGCAGCCGCCCTGGCCCCTGGCGCTGACGCTCCAGCGACCCGTCTTGGCCTCGAGGGGGAAGCTGTTGCCGCCGCCGCCGGGCCCGCCGGTCTGGATAGGGATGCGCTGTGACCATGGGGTAGGGGCAGCAGCTGGCCAGGCCCAGCCGGCGCCCAGCGCGGCCAAGACAGCAGGGGATCCGTGGTCCACCCGAGACGCATGGACCCAGGACAAGACCGACGAGGATTGGAGCCGTTGGCAGCACTGGCCAGACGACTGGCAGGGTGACAGCTGGCAGAACGACGATTGGCAGTGGCAGAACTGGGGCTCCAGCTCGTGGGGCACTATTGCCACGGGGGACTTTAGCGGCCCCCCGGCACAGCCACGCTGGTCACACTCCTGACAACGGAAAAGATCGATCCGCCGCTGGGACCAAAAACACCGACGTGCCCACCTGGCGGCGCTACGAGAAGTTTGCGAATATGTTCGACTACACATGCCAGGCTCAGTTCGACGACCTGAGGGAGGACGCGCTCACCAGCAAGACCTGGCTCGACACCGTCCTCGCCCGCATGGGTATCATGATAGGAGGGCGAGAAGGCGATGAACTTCGGCGATCGGGCTGGAAAGCGTTCTTTGAAGTATCTCTGGGGCAGACGGAGACCTTCTCCCAGTGCGTTTCGCGCCGTGCGGCCGAAGGCAGAGAGTTGTGGATGTCGCCAAAGTTGAAGGGTCCCATGCTCGAGGAGGGCGCTGGTCCGACGCCTCAAGGACTCCAGAACCTCCGCACTCTCACCCAGGGCCGTCTGGACTTCGCCAACGTAGCGCGGGTGCTCAGGCAGATGGACTCCAGCGGCGCCGAGAGGATGCTGCCAGGACGTCCGAGCGCCCGCGCCATGCTCGCATCGTCTTCTGAGGACCGAGGTCCCGGTGAGCGCGACCCCGCAGGTGCCTTTCAGTCTTCTTCCACTCCTTTCTCTCGCTCTGGTCGGTTCGACGTCGATGGTGGCGACCTCGAGGAGACTGAGGAGAACTTCGACGACGAAGCCGCGAGGCCGGGAGCGAGGAGTTCGATGAAGCCGTCATTCTTGCCGAACTCGAAGACTTGGATCTCTGGGGGGATCAGATCGGTGAGGCCCAAGCACTGGCGGAGGCGAAGCTCGGCAACAGAACGCGGAAGCAGAACAAAGATTTGAAAAGAGCGGCTCGAAAGGATCGAGAGATCTTTCGCGCGAGGCCTCCACCGGCTGCAGCCCCCAGACCTTCCAGGGGCGGTCGAGGAACAGGGCGCGGAGGCGGCCGATTCGCAGGCAGGGGCCGAGGCCGTTCCCGACTCTCGAAGGAGCAGCTCATGAAGATTACCCGATGCAAGATATGCAATGAGAAGGGACACTGGGGCCGCGAATGCCCCAAGGCCAGAGGCGGCGGAGACCGGGGGCGCAAGGTGCTGTCTGGCTACATATTCGAAAGATTTTCCACGAACCAGTCCGAGGTGCTCGCCTCGTGGGAGCAGGCCCAGGCCGAGCTAGACACCCCCTCCGTCTTCATCGCCGCGCAGGCCGCCCAGGGCCCCGTGGACCCCGGCGCCGGGAGCGAGCTCGTCGGCGTCGGCCCCCTCAACTGCGAGGCGGAGGCCCCGGCCGCGCAGGGACTTCGCAGCGTAGAGACTCCCGAGAGGGATCGCCCACGGAAGTCAGCCCACGGAGTGGGAGGTCAAGCGCAGTGAGTGGCGCGTTGGTTAGTCCTTAGGAAATGGTGAAATAGTTAATTTTGCTCCAAACATGCTCCTTGCGTTTTTGGTATCGATGCTCCAAGAATGCTCGCGTTTTTCTTGACGATGCTCCAAAATGCTCGCATATTCTCTGTTTTGTTTTTGAAGATGCTCCAACATGCTCGTTGCGTTTTTTGTTTTCTTGTGCGATGCTTCAAAAATGTTCGCGGCAATTTCCGTTTTTTCCTCAGACCGTTCCGGCGCGTTCGCGTGGTTCTGCGCGGTTATTCGCGATGGCCCGGACACGGAAACAACATTCTGTGCGATGGTTGAGCACGCTGTGGTGGTCGTAGCATCACTGTGTCCACATGTCCCACGTTCGTCCATAATTGTCACATGCACCTACCAGGTTCGAGCATTACGACGCACGAGAAAGGAATGGGAGGCCCTGGGATGCTGAGGGGAAGGACGCGGGGGGGATGTAGGATTGAAACTCATGAAAGAAATCACCAGCGCGCAAGAAGAATTGAGGAATTTGAATTCAACGCGAACCTGTTTCCCAAAACGAGTTATATCAATATGGGCGTTCGGGTATTCCCGCCCCTGTGTGTTTTGTTCAGAGGGAGCCGATTGTCAAGGGTCGTTTTCCTCCTCGTTCTCCCCCGCCTCTCTCCTCCTCCTTCAGTTCCTCCCTCCTCATCCACTTTCATCCTTCCTTCTCCGTCCTTTATGATTTACAACGGCAAGGGAAAACCAAGAAAACACAAGGAACAACCAAACACAACAGAAATCAAAGGCGTATCACCGGAGAAAAAAAACTAAGGAACGAACAGAAAATCATTTTCTCTTGGGGGGGGTGCGGGGTTGGACGAAACCTTGAAATATTTGGTTTGTTTGTTTTTCTGTTTTTTCCTTGGGTTGTTTCGTTTTGCCTTTGGTTTCTTTGTTTTTGTTTCTGTGTTTCCTTAGGTTCGTTGGTTTTTCACTCCCTGCCCTTCCTCCGTAAGGGGCGGACGGCCTCCGGCGCCCCCAGGACGCCCCAGGAGGCCACAGAGAGGCCCCAGAAAGGTCCCAGAGGGTTCCTGGAGAGGACCCAGGAGGGAACCCAGGAGGGGACCCAGGAGGGAATTCGGGAACAGACCCAAGAAGGAACCCAGGAAGGGACCTAGCAGGGAACCCAGGAAAGGATCCAGCTGGGAACCCAGGAGGGGACCCAGGAGGGAACCCAGGAACTGACCCAAGAAGGAACCCAGGAGGGAACCTTCCTGGGCATGTTGCCTTGTAACCATCGGTTAAGAAGCCGATGGTTACAAGGCAATTGCGTTTTTACGCCGATGGGGGAGGAAACTCTCCGCCATCCTCCTTATCCTCCTCCCCCTCTTCCTCCCCCCCGCCCCCATCCTCCTCCTCCTCCTGCAGGAGCGTGGGCTCTTTTTTTTCCATTAGAAATGGCACAGGGCTGAACGGAAACAAAACAACACACAATGAACCAAACAACAACACAAAAAACAAGACTTACCCCATCCCCGCCGCCCTCACGGAGAAAGTGCTGGAATATTGTTGTGTTTGTTTTGCTTGTTTGGTTTTTCATTGTGTTGTTTGTTTTTCTGCCTTGGGTCTTTGGTTTCTTTGGTTTTTGTTGGTTGCTCTTTGTGTTCTTGTTGTTCAATGCCCCGAACGTTTCAGGAGCCCCAGGAGGCTCCAGGACGCCACGAAGGGATTCTAGTGGAAAGCCTCACAGCAGGAATCCTGCGGAAAGCACAACGAGGGGATTGTTTTGGAAAGCCTCACAACAAGAATCTTTTTGGAAAGCGCCACACAGGGATTTTAGTGAAAAGTCTCACAGCAGGAATCCTTTGGGAAGCACAACAAAGGGATTCGATGGACAGCCTCACAACAGGAATCTTTTTGGAAAGCGCCGCACAGGGATTTAGTGGAAAGCCTCACAGCAGGAATCCTGCGGAAAGCGGCACAAAGGGATTCTGTGGGAAAGCCTCACAATCGGAATCCTTTTGGGAAGCGCCACAAAGGGATTATATTGGAAAGTCTCACAATCGGAATCCTTCTGGAAAGCGCCACATAGGGATTCCATTGGAAAGCCTCACAATCGGAATCCTTTTGGAAAGCACAACAAAAGATTCGACTGGAAAACCTCTCAACAGCAACCCTTTGGAAAGTACAACGAAGTGATTATATCGGAAAGCCTCACAGCAGGAATCCTGTGGAAACACACAACGAGAGGATTGCATTGGAAAGCCTCACGACAGGAATCCGGTGGAGAGCGCCACTAATGGATTCGAACGGAAAGCTTCACAGCACGAATCTTGTGGGAAGCACAGCGAGGGGGATTCGATTGGAAAGTTTCACACCAGAGCGCCACAAAGGGATTCGATTGGGAAGCCTCACAGCAGGAATCTTCTGGAAAGCACCACAAAGGGATTCGATTGGAAAGCCTCACAGCAGGAATCCGCTGGAAAGCACAACAAAGGGATTGTATTGGAAAGCCTCACGCTTGGAATCCGTTGGGAAGCGCCACAACGGGATTCCATTGGAAAGCCTCACAAAAAGAATCTTTTGGAAAGCACCACAAAGGGATTGTATTGGAAAGCCTCACAACAGGAATCCCTTGGAAAGCGCCACACAGGGATTCGATTGGAAAGCCTCACGACAAGAATCTTTCGAAAACG